ACACATCTAGGTTAAAAGTTTAGTTCCTCCATGTATTGACTACATGACCTTATTGACTACAAGTAACTTGGGAAAGTTACTTAATCTTTTTATGTTTCAGTTTCTATATCTGTAAAATGGTGCTCGTAACACTACAGTTTCACAGAGATACCGTGATGATTAAATCAGATTAAACGCATATGTAAAAAGATTAAGCTAGTGTCTGCAATATTTTGTCAATATTATCTTTTTCCTAGAAATAAAAAGTACACGCATATATTGCTGTGAAGAAGACCAAGATCACAGCAGCATGCGCAAAAAAACCCAATTCTATCATCCCTAGTTTTTACTTGCCTTGTCTAATGACATATCCCTGGCTTCCCTTTAAATCCATGCTATCATCTGATCCAGCTGTGAATGTTCTTTCAGCCTGTGTTTCTGACATCAATCTACTGCCATACTTCTGGTAATAAAGTTGCAGATCAACCACCCTGAGCTCGTGGGTCAGGAGCATACTTTCTTCTTTTAGGGTTCACTAGAAATGCTTATAATATCATTAGAAAATCTGGCTGATTTTTTAAGAGGATAAGAGACATGAATATATTTCATCTGCTTAAGTGTTTCCCACTGTGAGTCTTGCTGAGGTTCTAGAGGCCAAAATCTCAATGTCAGTTAAATATGCAATTGCACTTTCTCTACTTAGTATTATGGAATGGAATCTTAAGTATGAAAGATGTCTTGTATAGTATGTCAAAATGTTGAGCAATATTGTTTCAATCTAAACACAGAAATGAAAAAAGAGCAGATGATTTCCCTTTTGCTGTAATTCACTTTGGGATGCATGTCACGAAGAGCACTATACAAAAGCAATTTTCATTGATTGACTGGACTGATTGAGGAAAAGGGTGAATGTTCTTTCCAGTTTACATCCCTACTGAAGTATCTGAAGTATGATTCTTATAACTCCTGACAGCTCTTCACAATTTGTAGTTAAATGTTAAGTTAGCACAAGGGGGAAGGAGGGAATGAGGGAGGGAGGGGAGGGGAGAGAGAAAGAATTAGAACTTTCTTTGGTTTTGAGTATAGCTGACTTGAGTCGCATACTTAAATAGAAGAGGCTAAGATAAATTTAAACCTAAATGTTCTAATTCCTCCATTCAATGTATTTAGATTTTAGAGAACATAATTGCTAATTATAAGTTAATTTCTATAAATAAGTTAATTGAATAATCTAATCAATAATATTGGCCATCACATAATTATTGTTCTACTTCTGTGTAAGTTGCTACACAGTTTTAATAGAAATTCTGATTCTGAGAAGCATCAGCATCAGTGTCCTACTCTTAAAATCTGAAAAAGAATGAGTCACATCTTTGACATGCCCCTCTAAGTCTGTAAAACACGCTCTTTCATTTACCTGTTTGGGCAGATCTTTCTCTCACTCTGTGACACAATGAAATGAACACTGACCTATGAGTTATAGATGCGAACACTTAATGTGACCAAGATAAACTGAAAAAACTTCACACAGAAATGTTATCTTCCAAATTACTGTAGCAGATCCATGCCTAATCATTGTTACTACTGTCCTGTTCTTAAAATTTTAGTTTATCTTTCTAATGACATAAAAACATGGGAACTTTTTTTTTCCCCTTAACATATGTCAACTGGGTTTTTCTCAGTTGTTAACTTAAAGCAATGCTCATTAGGCAATAATTCTTATTTGAAATAGATTCACTTAATTAAAATAGACCTTCAAATGGACTAAATTTAATGCCTGCAAAGTTAGATTTGTTTGCAAAATATGGTAGACGGCTTATTTGGAGAGTGTTTTTAAAAACACTGAAGATCTAAAGCCACATAGCAGGACAGAATCAACACATTTTCAGGTGAAAGGCACTTAAAATGTCTTTCCCAGACAGCTGCAAACAAATGGAAAACCTTCATGTGGGTTCAGACTTCTGCTGTGGAAGCTCGAGGACATCACTTTCGCAGTTTAGAAATGATGCTCTTCACGCAGTTACGCGTCCAGCTATTGGTCCAGGTTGTGGGGGAAAAACAGTTCAAACTAGTAAATAACTGCAGTATCATTGCATCAGTTTAGTTTAAAGAGCTGACAGACCCTCTCTAAACTCCAAGCACAATTAGTCATCAGGGTCTAGTTTTTCAGCACTGTTAAGCAATTTGTAACCCATTCCTTTTAATAGGGTTAGGCATTACTTAACCGACACAGATGCCTTGAAAACTGAAACCTCGAGGTATGAAGCAGCAACCTTGTTCATTACCTTCTGTGATAGGCAAATCATCTATAAAAACAGCATTTAATGGGCAATCAATGGATAATCAATGGCTCACTTCTCATAGGAGTGTGAAAATGAGAACAATCTAATACAAATTCCCTCCGGTAAGAGGCCGAATCTTGGATTCTGCTGCTCTTCAGGGCTGATTTATAAGGTCTTGGAAAGCTGATGTAAACAGATGATCAATGGGACCCATCCTTGCTCATAATAACCCCCAACTGGCCCACTCCCTCTTTTCCAAGTCTATCCCTTCAGGCTATTAGCTCTGTCCAGCTAATTCTTCCCACCACTCCTGCCTGCTGCTTTTACTCTGGCCATCCGTTCAGTCCAGCCGACTCAGAAGTAATTTTATACACAGCAGAGAGCGGGTGGAATTGATTTTTCACTCAGTGCTCAGTTCCCATCTGAATAATTATCAATTTTACTGCCTCATAAAGGGAAGAGTCAAAATTTCAAATCAATTCAAAAGAGCTTTTGAGACGACAGAAACTGTGCATAAGAATAGAGGTCAAAGTTGTCAGTGACCTAAGGAGATGATGTCAGATACTACTACACCCAATGGCTGACATCAGAGGCACTCAAGATGATACAACTGATACAACCTAGTGCTAATGCAAATCGTATTTATGCTGACTACCAGAGACCAGTCATTAATATTTAAAAGGCTATCTGAAAGCCTACATTCCAAATAAATAGAATGTATTCCACTGTTAATAAAGATATATCACTACTTAGTCATATGCAATAAAGTAAAGGATTACCCAGTATTATTAACACACAGAAATTACTTAAACCAGCAAACGCATGGTAATTCGGAATAAAGACAAACTTGTCTTCAGCACAACCACGTTACTTATTCTGCACAGTCTGATTGTACATAAGTCTAGGGTCACGGCTATTGATTTTTGCTAAAATTTTCTGCCCACTTAGAAGTTTCTGCCAAAGTTAATGGGAGAATATTGTGATCATGGCTGAGTGCTGGCAGGTGGCAGACTTGTCACTTGCCATGGTGGGGTGGGGGCTGGGTCTGATTCCTGGCCAATCCACGGGTATTTATTTTCTTCCCTGGCTGTATGCTCTAAGAAAAGGCTAGTTCTGTCTTTTCTTTATAAAACACCTGTGGGCTGTGACACACTTCCAACAGTACCAGTGGCTACTGCAGTTGGGTAGGTGAGGAGAGATGCATCCAAATCTCAAAAGAATGTGTATTTTGAAAAGGCATTTCAGGTGAATCTGAGGTCTTTTCCCCACCAACCAGTTCCCTGAGAATCAATGGTCTAAGTGGTAAGGACTTGGGCTTCTGAGCCAAACAGACCTTGGTTCACATTGCACTCCAGACAGTTGATCTCTCTGTGCTTCAGTTTATTCATCTGTAAAATTGGGATGATGATGTCCACATTTCAGGGTTGTTGTGGGAATTGAAACGAGAGACTTCTCTGAAAGTTCTCTCCTCTCAGGACACTCTCTGTCATCACTCTATTAATCCAATTATCATATAATTGTTAGTTATCTGTCTCTCTTTCCTACCCGGCAGGAAACATTTTAAGGAGAGAATTTATGTCCTGTGGGTCTGAGTGGTTCTTGCACCTTGCACACAGAAAGTCTTCAATAAATGTCAGTTACCTTTCTCCTCTTTATCACCAACATGTTGTAACAATTCCAGGGTCATACCAAATAGTTAGAGGCCTAAAGCCCTTTCCTTATTTATACAAAATCTTAATCACAACCTTCCCTGCCAGGAAAACAACTGGTTAACTGAAACATCATCACAAATAAAGTTTACCTAATTTCATTTAAATATTAGCAAAAAATGGCAGCTAGGAAGAAAACCTCTTCCATGGCTGTCTTACTCATTTTCCTCATTTACTTACTCAGACTGACATTTTCTGCTGATTGCAGGCGACTTATTTGCTGACTAATGACATGCTAACGTGTTTACATTTGCAAACCACAGATTATTGTGGAGATAATTTGGCAAAATAAAACAACTGGAAGCAGTACAAAGAGATCATTTTCCAAATTTAGTAGAATTGGAAAATATCATAGTGATGGTATCTCCACAGCAAAATGGTATTATTCTCTTTGAAATGTTTCTGGCATATATATTTGTTTTTATGCATGCTGTTACTGTGGTTTGCAGAAGTGAGTATTTAAAAAACAATATTAAACTTGGATCTAATTCATATTAGCTAGTCAGAAAACACATTTAAAAATAAACAAACTGTGCCTTTACTCTTCAGAGTATGACCTATCTGAACCTTGATTTCTCATCTGAAAATGGGGAAAATGATATGATAAATCAAAGTCCCCAGCAAGTTGCCTGGCACAGACCAGAAGCCCAGCAAATGGCAGTTTCCCAACATACCAGCGTATTCACAAGGCTAACCTGAGATGATATCATTAGAGGCTCTAGGAAGGAAATCCGAGGTTGACTGTTTTGACTGTTTCTAGTCCCAGCTTCGCCTTTTATTTCTTTTGTCTCTTGAGGAGCTATCCTCTTTTTGAATTCTAGCTTCACTGAAGTGAGATGAATGACTCAGAGATTTCTTGAGGGCGGGTAATTGTGAGGCCAGTGTACTACCCTACCTTCTGGGAAAATACTCCTAGAGATTAACGGGTATAGAGTCTTGGCAAGACCAGTTGCTCTAGGAGATATTCAGAGACCAGGTTGGCTTTTGGGAAACTCTCATCTGTTAAACCAGATCACCAACCACCAGTTACCTGCTGCAGGACATCTGGATTTTGCTGCATAAAATGTAACAGTCTCTGACCGGCCTGCGTAGCCTCTCTGCATCGAAGTGGCTTCTTGCCCTCTTTTGCTATGTGCTTGAAGAGGTAAGTCACGATGTAGTCTAAACTGGTACAGCAGCTGGAGGAGACAACTGTATCTGTATGAACAACAAATGAAGATTTACTTGCATTAGTAAAGTGTTTCATCTGATGACAATGCCTCAATTAAAAAAAACCAAACACTTTCTGGTTTCAAAGCATGTTGATTAAACTATAAATTCCTTGACGGCAGGGATTTTTGCCTTGTTTATCTCTTAAAACCTTACGTCCACAACAGGATCTGGCATAGAGACATGTCAGGAATTAAATGATTCCTGGATTGGATTGGACAGAATTTTTCTTATGTGACCTTAATGACCCTCTGTTCAATTCAAGTGACTTTATTAAATACCGACTTGGTGCAAAATGCTCTGCTTCAGGGGACACAGGGTGTAAACTTGGTGCAAAGTATTTTGCTTCAGTGGAAACCCCCACCCTGGTGTCAACAAGCTCATGTACGGAAGTCACTGTAGCCCAATGCTGTGTAAAAATGAGTGACACGCTGCTGTGAGAATTTTGAGGGAGACACTGCATTTGGATGAGGATCAAGGTGAGTTTGGTAAAGGAGGCAGCATATGAGATGGGCTTGGAAAAGTTATTCCGTTTAAACATAAGGAAGGACATTTTTTCACATGGAGAGATTAGCACAACGCACATAATATGGTGAAAAGGTATGGATTTTGAAGCCAGACAAAAATCTGGTTTCAAATTCCATCTTTTCCAATTACTTGCTGTGTTGTTACTATGATAGAGCCAATTAACCTTTCTGATCATTTATAAAATACCTTGCAGAGGGGAATAAGAAAGTAACTAGAAATTCTCACGGTAAAAAAAGTGATAGTTATTGCGAGCTTATGTTTGGTTAGAAGACAAATGACCTAGAGGGTAATATGTGAAATAAGTCAGACAGAGAAAGATAAATACCATATGATTTCCCTTGTACGTGAAATCTAAAGAATAAAACAAAGGAACAAACACAACAAAAGAGAAACAGAGTCACAGATACAAAGAACAAACAGGTGGTTGCCAGAGGACAGAGGAGCAGGGGGGGATGAGAGAATAGTTGAGGAAGATTAAGAGGTACAAACTTCCAGTTGCAAAGTATATGAGTCATGGGTATGAAGTGCAGTGTGGGGAACACAACCAATAATAGAATCTTAGTACTGTGACAGACGGTAACTAGACTTACCATAGTGATTATTTTGTAATGTATAGAAATATCAAATGACTATGTTGGGCACCAGGAATCAACATAGTGTTGCAGGTCAATTATACTTCAAAAACAAAGAAACTCATAAAAAAAGAGATTAGACTTGTGGATACCAGAGGCAGGGGTTAGTGGGAAGGGGAACTGGATGAAGGCAGTCAAAAGGTTATAGTTCCAGCTGTAAGATAAGTAAGTATTAGGAACGTAATGTACAACATGATAAATACAACTAATACTGCAGTATGTTATATATGAAAGTTGTTCAGAGTAAATCCTAAGAATACTCATCAAAAGGAAAAAAAACTTTTAAAAAAATTTTGTATCTATATGAGATGACGTGTGTTCACTAAACTTACCGTGGCAATCACTTCATGAGTCAAATCATATTGCACACCTTAAATTTGTAAAGTGCTATATGTCAATTATAGCTCAATAAAACTGGAAAGGAAGAAAAAAACGGGGGTAGTTATTACCAATTTGCCCTCAAGGTGAAAAGAGGGGGCATATTCACATTTGAGTGAAAGAATGTGTAGAAGAATCGTAAGAGAGAAGGCTGACAAAAAAGCCTGGGCATCCAGTGGTGGGCTGAGACAGTACACATTTAATTTGAAAGGCAACAGAGGTGTTATTGAATGTCTTTTTACAGCAAGTAAGTGACATGATTTCTTTGTATACTAAAAATCATTTCATCTACTTCTACTAATCACTTCTGTATAGGTGACTGGATAAAGAAGATGTGGTATATTTATACAATGGAATACTACTCAGCCATAAAAACCGACAACATAATGCCATTTGCAGCAACATGGATGCTCCTAGAGAATGTCATTCTAAGTGAAGTAAGCCAGAAAGAGACAGAAAAATACCATATGAGATCGCTCATATGTGGAATCTAAAAAACAAAAACAAAAACAAAAACAAACAAACAAACAAAAACAAAGCATAAATACAGGACAGAAATAGACTCATGGACAGAGAATACAGAC